GACATTTGATGATATATACTGTGGATAGATAGAAGGTAGGAGAATAGAGATAGTGGTGAAGGTAATCTCACCCCTAAGGAGTTACAGCTGTGCTAATTATCAAGAATGAAGAACAAGCCTGCCCTTAATGGGCTACAGCTGGATCCAATTAAGAGGGGTACTATAAAAGAGTAGGTTGGCTGGTTGAGATGGAGTTTGTTGGCTGTGCGGAGGAGGAGTCAGTGCTGTGAGGAGCTGCCCATGAGAAATCACCAAGAAGGTATGAAAGCTTTGCAAAAAGATAGTAGCAATTGGTGACCCTGACGTGATCAAGGACCCAGGATGGTGCTGGGTTCCCCCCAACAAGATGGCAACAATTGGTGATCCTGATGTGATCAAGGACCCAGGATGGTGCTGGGTTCCCCCTGAATGGCAGTGTGTGCAGCAGGACACAAGCTGTGTGACAGAAGTGGCAAATGGCATGGCCACAGCAGCAGGGGGTGCCTCAGCAATAGCATGGCTCCCAAGGAGTACAGGGGCAGGTTTGCTAAGTCACTGCAGTATGAGCACTGGAACAAAAGCAATGTGGAGCTCTGAGGGGCAGAGTCAGGGCTGCACAGACACCATGTAAGAGAAGCCTTCTAAAGTTGTATAGTGGCCAAGTAACCCGACGTGATTGGGAGTGGGCTGTAGGGCGAGGTGCAGCTGGAGATGGAGCCCAGCGTAGCATTGAGAGCAGCAGAGGAAGCTGCCTGGTCCGGACCTGACAGAGTTTGACACCTGAGGTACAGGTGAGCCACTGGGGACACAAGGAGAAATAATAACATATCGAGTGCTGAACAGATTGTTTGATATATGTGGAAAGAAATAATAAAAAAAAAAAGACTGTGAAATATAGTGTCAAAAAGGGAGCAAGGCAGCTGCAGATTGGGCTGCCACCTGGAAATCACTTTATAAGACTTTAAAAGAATAGAAAACAGAGCAAGACAAGAGAGGCTTGCAGTGATCAACTAATACAACAAAAACTGTAGAAAGAAGAAAAGAATTATTAAAACAGCAGTGGAGGCTGGGGAAAGAGTATCTATTATTTAGTATGGTGTATTTGTTTGCTAATGAAACGTGCATTTTGTTTGTGAATTGCAGCTATGAATCTTTGATTAAGCATAAGTTTAAAAGTTTATATTCCATAAGCATAAGTACACTTGACAAATGCTGGATCAATGTTATTCAAAATTCTATAGCTAGCTGTTGATTTGTTGCTGTCTTAATATATAGTCTTTAACTTATTCTTGTGAGTTACCTTATAAAAGTTGTACAGCTGTGGATATTGTCAATACTCTGGAGATATAAATATAAAGGTTTCTAATTATACGTAATGTAAGTTTGGGTAATCATTTAATATAAAAGTTTCTGATAATATGTAATGTAAGTTTAGATAACTAATCAAAGTCAGCACAAACACATTCCAAAATTAAACAGAAATTACACAAAAAACTATTATACTGGGTTTGCTATCTTCTGTGAAAAGCCCTGCAAAAGATAGCAAACACAGCATTAGTTTAACTCATTCTTGTGAGTTAATCTTTGATTAAGCAATTAGACATATATCTAAAGATTTTGATGATAAGTACTCTCTGAATTTAGAAAATGAATCAAGTCTATACTGTGAAAAAGCAAAACTGAATTAGAATTTAAAAATGTATACTTTCACTGTGATATAGAAGTCTAAGCACAAGGGTTTTTAGTGATGAACCTTAAGTTGATGTTCTAGATTTTGAAAAGCAAAACAAAATCAGAACTTAAAAACATATGTTCTTACTGTGATATGTTGCCTGAACATTCATATAACTTTAAGTCCTAAGTAATATATGTGAATATGTTATAATGTCAATTTACTTAAACATAACTTTCTAAAGATACTACAGCTTTGTAATTAAAAGAAAAAAAGGAATTGTGGATAGATAGAAGGTAGGAGAATAGAGATAGTGGTGAAGGTAATCTCACCCCTAAGGAGTTACAGCTAATTTACTTAAACGTAACTTTCTAAAGATACTACAGCTTTATAATGAAAAGGAAAAAAAGGAATTGTCAATAGATAGAAAGTAGGAGAATAGAGATAGTGGTGAAGATAATCTCACCCCTAAGGAGTTACAGCTGTGCTAATTATCAAGAATGAAGAACAAGCCTGCCCTTAATGGGCTACAGCTGGATCCAATTAAGGGTATTATAAAAGAGCAGGTTGGCTGGTCGAGATAGAGATGTACTCACCCCTAAGGAGTTACAGCTGTGCTAATTATCAAGAATGAAGAACAAGCCTGCCCTTAATGGGCTACAGCTGGATCCAATTAAGAAGGGTATTATAAAAGAGCAGGTTGGCTGGTCAAGATAGAGATGTAAGATGGAGTTTGTTGGCTGTGCAGAAGAAGAGTCAGTGCTGTGAAGAACTACCCATGAGAAATCACCAAGAAGGTATGAAAGCTTTGCAAAAAGATAGCAACAATATACCATTTGATTGTATATATCATCATATTTTTCAAGTTTTTCATTCTGTTACTTACCGATTTGGTTATTTATATTTGTTTTAAAATATTTTTCTTGGTTCTCTCTTTAAGCATGCTTAAATTCAGGAAAGGTTCCCAAGTAGAAAGCTGTTTGTGTCTTGCTACTGCAGGTGTCATAATATGCTTCCTGACAAAGTCTCCGCAATCTTGCCACCTGAAACGCTGTATTTGGTTTGGTTGGGAAGGTTTTGGGACACACATGCACATGATGGTGGCTTCTGTGATAAGATTACCATCTGACTCATATTGTAGGGGACTTCCTTCCTAAATAACGTGATCAATTTGGAGCCTAGTGTTGGAAAATACGGATGTCTGGAAAGAAACATGGCAAATGTATACTGTCCATCCATGGCAAGCAGCAGACTGAGGGTGGAGCATCCCACTTGGCCTGCTCACATACAAAACTTCATGTGGCAGAAGAGGAAACTCCTGATAAAAGGAAGGTGTGGAAACCTCAGGTGGGGCAACAAGATGCCTTGTTTTCCATTTCAGTGTAGCAGTTTGCAGTGTAGCATCAGGACAAGCACGCAGCCAAGCTGAACTGAGGGCCTGTATGACAGGATATCTAGCCAGGCACTTGAGACACTTGCTGATTAAAACTTGAGGAAAGCAGTTCCACTTAAGTCCTGTTTGTTATGTTCTGTGGAGATTAGATAACCTGATTTCTTTTAAGCCTGAGGTGGAAAATAGATGCAAACTTATATTGCAAAATGGAGTCCAATTTTAAAAACTTGAGGAAAGCAGTCTTGTTCCGCTTAAGTCCTGTTTGTTATGTTCTGTGGAGATTAGATAACCTGATTTCTTTTAAGCCTGAGGTGGGAAATAGATGCAAACTTATATTGCAAAATGGAGTCCAATTTTTATTCCAACCCAGTGTATTTTACAGGTACAGTATGTTCCATCCATGACTATACTGTATGCAGTCAGGGATATACTTTCACATTGATATTGTTAAAATAATGTCCTGCTTATTTTACATTTACACAATACTGGTACACTCAGGGGATTAAGGCATTTCTAGAATATAAAACATCTTGGGACTAAAATATGAATGCTCCTTCTGTTTAAACTTAAAAAAAAATCCAGCTGTGAAGGGAAATTTTTCTGTAGCTTTTTCTGTATTTTTAAGTGTCCTAGATCATCTCCAGACACCAAATATAGCTGTCTCATTATAAATTCATAGGAAATCTGTGAACATCTACGCAGCTGATGAAGGTGTTTCATAGTTGAAAAACCTGGTCTTGCACAGATCGATCTGTTCCATGAGTCACTGCTCCATACAATTAGAAGAAATCAACCTTTTTAAAACCACTCACACAATTAATTTGGTGCAATACCAAATAGCTAAGCCTTAATTTCTTGGTATTTGTTCATAAGCTGCCGGCAGCAAAAGCCATTCTGACAACACTAAATTTCAGCTATAAATTAGTCAGTTTCTTTATATTTCTTTTCCCTATATCCACTGGGACTATCTGCCTAACAGCAGCTTTAACAAATAAAGACAGCACGAATTTTGCAAGAAGAACCTCTGAATTCAGCCTGGATCAGCGTTCGTTTCTCAGACCTCTTCGCTCATTGTTTTATCCTGCCAGGAGCCTTCTCTTACTGGGTTGGGTTTTTTTGCTGGGCCGGTGCGCAGCGTGGCTTCGGGCTGCCAAGGCGAGTATGCGGCCGTCACTGCCAGCACGGGTGGCTCGGCTCGGCTGCGCTGACGGGCCCCGGGTTGGTGGGTTTGAATTGGCGGGCCTGGCCCCGCCGCCGGCCGGCAGGGGCGCTGCGGGCGGGGGAAGCGGAGCGGCGGCGCCGCCGTTCCCCGGCTGCGCGGCCGCCTCCTCCCCTCCGCCTCTTCCTGGCCGCGGCCAGAGGAGCTGTGCTGGCAGCGGGGAGGCGGCGGCCGCGGCGCCCAGCTCCCGGCCCGCCATGGCGATCCGCAAGAAGAGCAACAAGAACCCGCCGGTGCTGAGCCACGAGTTCATCGTGCAGAACCATGCGGACATCGTGTCCTGCATGGCCATGATCTTCCTGCTGGGGCTCATGTTCGAGGTGAGGCGGCACCGACGCCCCCGCCGGGGGTGCTCTTCCCGCATCCTCCCACTCCACCGGAGGCTCTCGGTGCTGGAGGGGAGGGAGGGAGGGCGCGGGGGTGCCGCGGCAGCGGGGCGGGCTGTGCGGGCTGCGGCGGAACGCTGCGCCTGCTCCCGCTCAGCGCACCTGCCCGCCGGCCCACGCCCGCCCCGCCGTGCGCGGGGACCGGAGCCGACCCCCGCCCCGCACCGCCCGAGTGCCACCGCGGGCGGCCTCCCCGCGGCGCTTCCCCGGCTGGATCCCCTTCTCCCCGGCTCGGCTTGGACAGGCGCAGCCGTGGCCACCGCCGGGACCCGGGTCCCGATTCCCCGCCGCCGCGGGCGGGAGGCCGTGCGGGGCCGGGAGCGCTGCCCGCCGCGGCGGCGGAGTTCCTGCGGGCGGCGGGGTTACGTGGCAGCCGGCGAGGGAGGGAGGGAGGAGTGCGCGGCACGGCGGGGAGGGGGCGGGGGGCGAGGCCCGGCCGCCACAGCCGATCCCCCGCTCTTTGTGTGCGCGGCCCCGCCGGCACTACGGCTCCCGGCGGGCGGCGCGGCGGGAAGGGAAGAGGGGAAGGCAGCGGTGACGTGTCCTTAGGGCCGCCGCTCGGGTCCCCCCGCCCGCGGAGCATCCCGCGGCTGCCGGCGGCTCCAGGCGCCGCGCGGCTGGGCTGGGCACCCCGCCGCCTCCTCCCGTCGCGGAGATGCGCCGCGGTTCGGCAGCGGCGGAGGGGAGCCCTCCCTGCGGCCTGAGGGCCGGCCCTGCTGCAGGCCCTCCGCTCTCTGGGCCCCCATGTTGAATGCAGATGCTTTAAAACGCGCCTTTTCGGCGCTGGAAAGGTAACTCACCTGTGTGACTGCCAAAGCGTTATCAGTGATCTAAGATCACTGATCGCCAAATTAAGACTGTGTTGACTAAATGTTTCTGGTGTTCTAGACATTTATTTCAGATATTTGTTAAGGGCCGTGGACCTTTCTGTCATGGTTTTCAGGATGATTTCATCCAGCTCTTGGTACAGCTCAGCACTAAAAGCCAGTGGAATTAGGAAGAAAATTATTAGGTAGATAGATACTTACATAGATACATAGAAAGTGAAAACAGGGCAGACCAGCTACACTGTTGTTTTTGGGTTTGCTATCAAAAATCACCAAGACAACTGTTACATGGTGATTTCCTGGGGAGTGAAGTTAAAGAGGTAAACCGAAGCTATTTCTTTTGTGCCTACATCAGGCTTACTTGTATTAACAGTGTTACTGGTAGGGTTAGAGGTTTTGAGGGATTGAATGTGCTGAATTCTTTTGTTTCCAGTTTTTTTTAACCCACTGTGTTTTCTAATGCATTGTAAAAGGCCGTGTGTCATTGTTGGTACAGATGTGGTATGTTGCAATTTTTTAAATGCTTTGATACAGATACAGGAAATCGCTTGCTGCGGTTCCTGTTGGTATGGTGAGGTGTTTACACTGCCTGACTTGTACAATTCTAGTATGAGAGAGCTGACAGAGCCTTCAAAGAGCAGTTCAGAATTGAGTACTGTTTTGAATTGTCCTCTCAGGGCTCCCTTGTTGAGTAGGGAGCCCGAGGCAACTTCACTAATTTGAGCAAACTAGCAGGATTCCCTGAAGTTACATGGTCTGAGCAGTCTGCCACGTATTCAGGGTTTCGTAGAAAATCTAGGGCTTGTTGACAAAGCACTGGTTTTAAAAATGTCGCTTCCTGTGAATAATTAATACTACTAGTAACCTAGTCATTATCTTCAGATGCTCAACATATCCTTCCAGGATTACTTAAGGAGCTTGGGTTTTTTGTCAGCCCTATTAATTACCACGCAGATGCTGGGTTTTTACAGCTATGAGAAATGATCTGATCGTGAATATGGTAAAGCACAGTTTCTTTTCCCTCTCATTTAGGGCATGTTGATTCATGTTGGGATTCAATGGAGATGTGTTACAGTGAAAAAATAAGTTTCTGCTTTTTGTCAAATAAGAACTTGTACTCTGTCTTAAATATCGGGGGTTTTAGAATATTCCCACCCCACTTCTCAAAGAAAGCCATTAGGACATCTCTTCAAACTGTTTTTATTCCTTCTGGTTATTCTTACAGCTCATCAAAAAGGGATAGTACCACTACTGCTAAATTTAATTTAATTTGTTCTATGCTTCTTGCCAAAGGATCCCCAGGGTCAAAAGAATGGTAATTGTATTGAGTTGGTATCCCACTGGCCTGAAATTGTTTCCTGTTGTTTATGCCTTTTTTTCCTCCCTGTCCACATTTTTCAGATTACCCACAGATTTATGAATATGATAACTGACTTCCAAGTTTTGTCAAATAAGAAAAGTACTTTTAAATAAAGTTTATTCTCAGCCACTGCTGAATGCATCATGGTCTAGAGACTCCATTATATTGTCCATTCTGTTAATGTAATAATACAGTATGGACTAAAGACAGAAATGTAGCATGTGTTTTCATTTTACTGTTGTAGGAAAGGCTGTATGTAAGTAACATTTTCAAGGATCTTTATTTGGCAGGTTGAGTATTCTGTAAACAAACCTGTAGAGACCAGGCCATGTGTGCTGTCCTTGGAAAGTCAGGTGCAGTGGTGAGATAATGGGAGTCAGTCAGTTTTTTGGGAGGAGGCAAATGTGCTGGGCAAGGGTGCCAAAACTATGGGCAAATGTTTTCAGTTTAATGTAGTTTATTTCCATGAGAATTTACAGCACTTTTGGTTTTTTTCTCTTTTAGATTACAGCAAAAGCAGCCGTCATTTTTGTTACACTTCAGTATAATGTTACCATTCCTGCCACAGGTATGTATCTTGCAGGAGGTTAGTTAGGAGACATGTATCAGACATTATTGGTGTGCCATGCTTCCTACACTTGTCAGGAAGGGAACTTGTCCATTTCAATGGATAACCAGCAGCTTTCAAAGATTTCAGTTTTATTAAAACACTGTTTTAACTAATTAAGTTAGAGACAATGTTTCTGTTCTGCTGCATTCATCATTAGTGCTGAAACACCATCTTACTGGTAGATAAGTTCACATGAATTCTTACTCTGGCTTTGCTGGTGATAATTTTTAATAGTCAAAGTGGGGTGATGGTTTAACATATTTTTATTGTCCACTTTCAATGTATTTGGATAAGCTTCCTAAGTGCACTTAAGTTTTTAGTTTTATAGCATCTTTCCAGAGTCAAATTGAGTTTGTGATGTGATGGAGAAGATAACTACAAACAGTTTAGTGACCTAGTTCATGGTGGCAGTTTAATTTGGCTTTTATTTGTTCAGCTGACTACAAGCTACTTCTGTCTTAAAGGTTTCCCTCTGAGAAATAAACTTATGAACCATTAAACTGTATTGGTGCCTAACAGTTAATTCTCTTTGTCTTTTAGAAGAACAATCTGCAGAAACAATCTCTCTCTATTACTATGGCATCAAAGACTTGGCTACAATTTTCTTTTACATGCTGGTAGCAATAATCATACATGCTATAATTCAGGAGTATGTACTGGATGTAAGTACAAAATATTAATTCCTTTCATCGAGATAATTGGTGGGTTTTAATTAGACTTTAAGACTATTAACTTAAAAGTCAATTTCTGCATTAAAATTTTTAACTGTAAAAACATGCATTAAAACTTCAAGGTACTGTAATGCAGTTACTAAATAAATGTGAAGTACTGCAATATATAAATAACAGTGGACTTTCATTTCAGAAAATTAACAGGAAAATGCACTTTTCAAAAACAAAGCATAGCAAGTTCAATGAGTCTGGGCAACTTAGTGCATTCTACCTTTTCTCCTGTGTTTGGGGAACGAGTATTCTTGTCTCTGTAAGTATGCTTTCTCTTCTGTTTCATTATGAGATTTCAAAAAATTCACTTATATTGATGATAAATATGGTTTTGGTTTATTTTTCTGGTTTTAGCTAGTTTTATTTTTAAAGTGGGGACAAGTTTAAGGATTCTGTGTGAGTTTAGTCACAACTCAGTATAAAGTCAGTAGTGTTACTGTTGCTCAGTCTTGAGTAGATTTACTGTCAAACTGAATAAGATGAAACCACTTAACTTTATTATGGTATTTAATTCTCTGTAGGTTTTTTGGTGTTGGTTTATTAACATAAAATAAATGTTTAGGAAACACCACACATAGCATTCTGGAGCCTAGGGAATGGATATATGACAGATTGCTGTAACCTTGGGTCACTGTGTGCTTTTAGGTGGAGTACTCTTAGCTATTGGCTGGATGTATATGAGCTTAGCTCATAGAAAGGGAAGACTGCCTTTTTTTTTCTTTATTTTAACATAAAAGCTCCTGGAAAACCTTTCTTTCTTTTAATTAAGTTCAAAGTTTGACAGCAGTTTACAAGAGAAGACTTGTGGCTGTAGTAATCCTGGAATAATTTCCATCTCATAAGGACATTCTATCTTGAATTATCACTTGATTTGTTTGGTTGCTTTTTATTTTCTTAAGCCAGTGCAATGTCTTTTGTTTTGGGGATTTGTTTTCTGGATTGGTTTTGTTTTGTTTATTTGTGATTTCTTGGGGATTTATTAGAAAGAAAATTTATGGATCTGCAGCTTTTACTTGTGTATGTATATATGAGTACTTTTTGTGTGTACACTCGTGCATATACCTAAATGCATATATGTACACCCAGTCATTATTTCTGAGCATTTATTGGGGTTTTTGTTTGTTCTTTTCTTTTTCTAGGAGAACTATATATCAGATCCAACCTCTCTGTGGAGGGACTATCCACACGCTCTGATTCCGTAAGGCCTCTTCCTTTGAGGATTGCTGGGGAAGAGGAGGGAGTGTTTTAAGCCTAGGGTGTGTCATGTACCATCTGTGTAGAATAAGTAGTTTGTAAAACTATATTAGTCACTAATGTGTTTTTGGTTGTATTTATGTGGGCTCGATTCTTTGACAACTCGTAGCATACAAAGTTCTTTTTATGTAGGCTGTTACTTAAAGAATTCAATTTTTGCAAGCTTTGTCTGAATGATTTTATTATTAAAGATATTAGTTTAGACTTGGCTGGCATGAAGGATCTGTATTTTTTCTTTCTTTAAGAGACAATGATAAAATGAGTTCGCTAGAAGCTTCTGAAATGTTTTAAGTTCAGTCATAATAAATATTATTCTTCAATTCTTGCTGTATTGTACAGGTTTCAAATGAAGTTTTTCTACATCTTACAGTTGGCATACTGGTTTCATGCTTTTCCAGAACTGTACTTTCAGAAAACTAAAAAAGTAAGTTCAAAACATAAATGGGAGGAACTACAGAGCAAGGTGGCTTTTTCTCTTTACAGTTAAATCCTAATTGCAGTAAAATTGCTAAATATCTGTTGTGTGAATAAAAATGACTAGTGTTTCCCATCCACTGAAAGAATTTTCCCTCAAGCAAGTGATTGTGAGATTTTCTTTTCACCTCTTGGGGTTTTTTCCCCTTTGTTTCTCAGAATTGATAGGCTGAATAGGCTCACTGAAATCACAGTTGCTTCATGAATCATGATATAGATGTAAAATATAAACTGTGAATAATTCTGTACATCAAAGGAGTATGAAAGTCTGGGATTTGATTTAAATAGCATTTTAATGGGTGGATGAAAATGGGACATGAGCTAGCAATATACCTTTGCACCCCAAAAAACCAGGTGTCACCTGGGCTGAATAACAAGCAGTGACCAGCTGGTTGAGGGAAGGGATTCTGCCCCTCTGCTCTGGTGAGACTGCTCCTGGAGTGCATCCAGCTCTGGGGTCCCCAGCACAAGAAAGGTGTGGATCAGTTTGAGTGGGTCCAGAGAAGGGCCATGAAGATGAACAGAGGGCTGGAGCACCCCTTCTGTGAAGGCAGGCTGAGAGAGTTGGGGTTGTTCAACCTGGAGAAGAGAATGCTCCAGGGAGAACTTATTGCGGCCTCTCACTCTTTGAAAAGGACTTATTAGAAAGATGGAGAGAGACTTTTTATTGGGGTCTGCAGTGACAAGGAACAATGATTTTGAAAGAGGGTAGATTTAGACTAGATGTGAATAAATTCTTTGTGATAAAGATGGTGAGACACTGGAACACAATACCCAGAGAAGTTGTGAATTTGCTTTCGTTTGAAGTGTTCATGGTCAGGCTGGATGGGGCTTTGAGCAACCTTGTCAAGTGATAAATGTCCCTGCCCATGGTGTAGAGGTTGGACTAGGTGGTCTACAAAGGTGTCTTTGAGCCCAAACCATTCTGTGACTGTTGTTGCTCTGTGACTAGGCTCCATCTCTTGCCAGTTCTGTTTTAGTGAAGAAAATGAAACATAGGTGTTACATAACCACAGGTCTTTGTACAGGAGCCTAGAAGAGGCTTAGTGAAATAGTAACAAGATGCACTGGTTTTGTGCTGCTTAGATGCAGTATGAATACTGTTTTGCAGATGCACAGCAGCTGATGTTCCCTTGTTGTTCTAGTGATACCTTCCAAATTTAACTTCACAGCCAAGTGTGGAGATTTTTCTTAAAATAACTTCAGGAGAGCTGTCACAAGTGGCCTAAGTGCTGTGTGTTGAATAGTAGTGTTTTACTTGGTCACTGCTTGAAATTGTGCCCTCTGACTTTTGCATTAAGTTTGAAGAGTGATAGTTCATTTGTTTTAGCATAGTTGATATTTCTTCAACCACAGCTTAACCTCTGCTATCTTGGCTGACTTGCCTTATGCCTTCTCTTGAACAAACTGGCTGCTTTTACTCAGGTCTAGTTATCTGTCCTGCTGACATAAACAAGAAAAAAACTTCTCAGCTCTGGTTCCTCTATAGTCGTGTATACCTTATGCACTGTTCTACAAGGCCTGCAGTCTCTGACAGTTTGTCTAAGGAGGCACCATGGGGTGTTTAAATGTTTTCTCAGTTCTAAAGTTAAAGTGTTGTAGGCTGGTCCTGGTTGTGCTTGGAGAAACTGACCATTTGTACTTACTGTGTCTTTATCTGAAATAACCCATTTTTCATTTTCTTTCAGATAATTTAGAGTAGGTCTTTCTCCACTTGTTTTCTTGCTCTTTGTGTATTATGAGAGTGATTGCTGTTGTTGTAATTGTTTGATTCCGTAGGTTTGTTGGATGTGATACTGAGTATTGAAAAACATAGTATAGCTCTTGTAAGATTAAAATTTTAGGCCCTTTTTAGAAGATAAAGCTAAAGATCCTTGCTTGAAGTTTAGAGAATCTTTCCAAAAAGGAGTTTCTTAAGCATAACTGAATGTACTCTGCTACCACTCCAAAAGAGATTTTTATTGTGATCTGGCATAGTTCAGTAGTCTCTCTGTTCACAGAAGGCACAATCTGCTTTCCATGTGCTGTGTGTCTTCCTCTTTATTATTTCATCTCCATGAAGTGTTCAGTTTAATAGGGCTGACTAAAGCCTGACTTCAAGTGGGACCATGTGCTTTAGCATGACTGGTTAATAACAATATTTTCTACATTTGCCAGAAACAGTGTGCCAGAATTTTGGATGGCCTTGAATTTTAAAAATTTATCTCAACACTTGAAAAACCTTTCATTTTGATTCATAGACTGTTATTTCATTCTGTAGCAATCTGACAATTTGATGGGCAGCAAACATGTGGAACTGTAGGATCTGGTGATACAGTAATACATACAAAATAAGAAATGTAATAACTTGTATATATTAACAGTGGTCATAACAAAGAAAAGTGGATCCTTTTTAAAAGCATCTTTCCATGTTTGATGCCTTTTCTCACAGTAGCATATGTAGACACTGAATATGACTGGTAAGTGAGCAATAAGTTATGTGTGGAATTAGATGATCCAGGCTGAGTGATTCAGTGCCAGACCAGGCCACTTTAAGTTAGCTGATACACCCAGAAGGATTTCCAAGAGTAGGGAATAGTTTGTAATAACAGATAACATAGTACAATACTGTGTAACACATGGTCACTTTTCCTTCCAAATAGGAAGATATCTTTCGCCAGATTGTCTATATTGGACTTTACCTCTTTCACATTGCTGGAGCCTATCTCCTGAAGTAAGTAAATTGTAAATTTTTGCTGGCTCCATTCTTTGCCTTAAATATCTAACAAAAGGTCTGAATGTTTGTTTTATTTGTTTTGATAGTCTGACCCATCTTGGACTTGTTCTGCTGGTATTGCATTACTTCGTTGAATTTCTTTTCCACATATCCCGTCTTTTCTACTTCAGTGATGAAAAATACCAGAAAGGGTAAATAGTCTTTATCTTTAAAATTCTTGTAAATTCTGTCTAAGAGCCTTTTGCATTTAACTAACCAGAAACCAAAATTACAAGGGAGTTCAAACAGTGTTTTTTAAGCAACCACAGTTGTCCAGACAAGTGGTAGTATTTATATTTCTACACCTTCAGTGTACTTTCTACCTTGTTTTAGCCTATTTAAGTAAATATTAGTAGCAGTATTAAATTAAATAAAATCTTTCCATGTATACTAATGTGGGGTTTTTTAAAGTTTTGTAGAGAAAGGAACAGGATAGATTGCTAATACAGCCAGCTCTATAGGAATTACAAATGTGCTTTTGTTCTAATAGTACTTCAAAATACTTTCCATTGAGGTGAAATCAGTTTCCATAACATAATACAAGATGCATTTAAGATAGGTGCAAAATCATGTATTTAGGTAAGTTCTTATATTTCAAAGAAATTTGCATTGTGAAAAGTAAGCATTTGCATTGTTAGTGCATGTGTTTTAAATGGAAAGTTGATTTAGTGTTTGTGGTGTTTTTATTTCTAGATTTTCACTGTGGGCAGTTCTTTTTGTTTTGGGAAGGCTTCTCACCTTGATTCTCTCAGTCCTCACTTTTGGCTTTGGACTGGCAAGAGCAGAAGATCAGCAGCTGAATTTCAGTACTGGGAACTTTAATATCCTGGCTGTTAGGTACAGTAAACCTGGAACAGTTCTTAAGCATGTGCTGTAAACCCCTGTTAAATGCACAATGTAAGTGATATGGTACTAATGCCAGTAATTCTGAATGACTGAGTGTTTTCATGCAACCAATGGGATCAATAGGAATAGCTTGTGTTGGAAATTTGTAAGGCACAGTGAAATGAATTGACTGAATTTAGTCTACAGCTGAGAAATCTGTAACTGGTTACCTTTCTTTTCTTTGTTTAAAAAACCCCCAAGCAACCAAAAAAAATACAGCAAAACCAAATCAGCAGAATTAATAGGAATATCCAATTACTACTTTCAAATGCTTTAAAGTTAGTAAATTGAATTCCAGATACGATTCTGTCAGTATATCTTAGAGGTCAAAGTATTTGTGCCCAGAGAAGCTTTGGTCTCCTTTGAAGATTACTGCCTCTTTCTCTGCCTTTTTTATGGCCCCTATTGCTGCTGCCTGATCCAACTCCCTGGCTTTCTTATGACTGCAGAAAAAAAAGTTATTGAAACTTTGACAATGTCAGCCTTACCTTGCAAAACTGATACTCTGAGCTGCAAGACACTTTTGAACCATTTTCAGGTGTTACTACCTGATATCCTGAGAGTAATTCTGAGAAAGACAGCAGGAAAGAAACCTAGTACTTGCCAGTTTTGATGGGCAAAGATTTCACTATCACTATATCTAGTTTAGATCATCTGTGCTTAAACCAAGTGTTGCCCTATGCAAGCAAACTCTTGGCTTAGAAAATGGAGGTTACCAGGAGGAGGGGGTGGAAGTTGCCAAAAATCCTGAGGTGTTCTACCTTCCTTTTCTGTTTGAATAATGAGGCAAACTTACTGATGAAACTTTACCTATTATTTGTTTCTAGAATCAGTGTGCTGGCCTCCATCTGCATGACCCAAGCATTTATGATGTGGAAGTTCATTAATTTCCAGCTTCGGAGGTGGAGAGAGCATTCTTCTTCTCAGCCTCAGTCAGTGAAAAAGAAGTTTGTATCAGCTAAAGGAAAGACCTCCAGAAAAGAAAGAGGTTCGTAGTTTCATTTTTTCTGTTCCTTTGATTCTCAAACCAACTCTGGGTCGCTAAAGAAGCATTTTGTGTTTAACTTGTGAGTGAGATGACTCAGCTAGAGAAGCAGTACTGGGGAATATTACTGTGGGAAGAATTGATTTTTAAGAAAAACCAATATATATAGTTGGGTTTTCTAACCGCCCAAATTAAGGAATTACTGGGGTGTTTTTAGTTAATGCAGCATGATATTTTTTATTTAATTTCATTACTTGAACAAAATACATCATGCTTATGTTTTGTTTTCTTATATAAAGGGAATAGATGCAATTTTAACTTCTCTTTGACATTTATTTGTAAAATTTTCTTGCCATGGATTTCGAACTTCTTTTTTATTGCCACAAAATTCTGAGGGTTTGGAGCAAAGAGATAGCTTGATGATCCACCCAGTAAAAAGTTTTTTGTTGGACTATTTTTACAAAAAACAGTAATTGGTAGTTCTTTAAGGAAAGGCAATAACACCTTACTACTCTAAACCTGTGTTGAAGCATTTGGAAATGAACTGAAGAGTCTAGATTTGACTTTTTAATTATGTCACACCCTTCTTGTGGAAAGGGCATGAAAGATGAACAGAATGCTCTTTCCTCCAAGAAAAAATTATGTGCTCTTTTAGAAAAAAAGAATTTAATTCCTGTACTTCAGTATATCTGTTGCATCAAGAGTTCAACTCCTGTGTATTTAGCTGCTAGCTTGAATAACTTCTGCAACCTCTTGAAATGGCAGAAGTTGTTTCAAAAGCTTTCTTCAGCATGATCCTTTGCTCCCAATCTTTGTATTACCAACCTGTTCCACTTTTTGATATATTGAAAGTAGTGTGTGTCAAGACTGCTTGTACTGAGATTTGTGGTGGAAGATCCGTAATTTTTTTTTCTCCCAATTTCTGTTTTTATTAAAATTATGTGTTTTAGATTTCTGCTGCACTCCCTTTAGAATGATTTGTAATTATCACAACTTGGTTTTTGTGTAGTGTTGGTGGGTTTTTTGGAATTCAGTTGGAATTTTTTTTTTAATTGAGTGAAGGTAGTTTCCTATGTAATGTCCTGTTTAATCAGAGCTTCATGGTCATGGCCTTCTCAGTATGGAGGGCTTTTTTAATTTAAGTATTTTATGTCAGATAATGTTAAATATATGCCTTGATTAGGGAGTCAGAAATGAAAGAGCTTTTTAAAATCTCTTAATCTATTTAATTCATGTAGTTTAGTGAATCTGCTTGGTTTCACCCTACTTCAATGAAGACTTGCAAGTGGTAAACAAATAGTGAAAAAGTCAGTTAATTCACAAAATCATTGGACTATGCCTGTCTTGAACACTGAAGAATTGTATTCCTTATTTTAAATGAACATAAAAGAACTCAGTTCCTTGAAGTGCTTCTGTTTTGAATACTCCTGTTATGTTGTCTGTTCAGGGCACTTGCATAGGATGCAGCAAAGCAGTGGTTTTGAAGGAGTAATAGATGCAATTGAAGTCTTTAAAACACTTTTTTTGTGTGTGTATGTGGTTAAATGTTGGAGGTTTTTTTGAGAGCCAGGGCACAATAAAATGTGTTACTTTTAGTTTATGCCAAAAGCAAGAAATGACAGTAAAAGATCCTGCTGATGATGTAGGTGGGGTATGCAGCCACATATTGATTCATGTTCTTTGTTGTTTTAGCTAAACTGTTTAAGAAAATATGATTTCAGTTAGCTGACTTGGGTCTAATTAATATTTTGTAAGTTTTTTTTTATTTAAAAACAATTCAAACATTTTCAGAAATATCCAAAGACCACCTTATGTAAGCTTAAAATGGTGGTGTCATTTACAGCCAGATGTGTTTTCAAACAGACTCTTTGGGCCTGTGTCTGGTCTCATGCTCATGTGTGGTTGTCATTGTTACTTTTTTGTTGTTGCTTGTTTGCATAAATGGGATCATTTGGGTGTCGTGGGAGAAAGAGGGAGGCCAACAGTTGTTTTTGTAGACTATCCATACTCTAGTGACCTTCAGCACATCTGTGGATGGAAAAAAGAAGTTTAACCAGTCCTTTGTAAAAATATATATAAATATATATATAATAATTGTTTAAAAGCACCAAAAAAACCCAGCAGCTGTTGCTTGAAGTCAGAATGAGAAGAGTCAGAGCAGAGATGTGAGGCTGCAAGTATTGTAGCTGGCTATGCACTGTGTTCTTTAGATCTGCTTTATAAATATAATTACTGTCAGGCAACGTCAGTTTCCTTGGTTGTGGTGAAACTGAATAAAGGGGGTGTTGGAGTTGTGGATGCTGACTGGATGTTGTGGATGCTGTTGGAGTTCTGTGCTGACACACTCTGACTCCCAGGAGAGCACTGCATTTGACCTGAAGCCATGGAGAATGCTTCCAAAATTAATTGATATCACCATGATTACGAGTGTGTATTAATTAGAAGTGTGTAATATCACAAGGTGAAAAAATTAGAATTTGAAGTTTTAAAATATAATAATATATATAGAACAAGATAGAAGTTTTAAAGTAAAAACTAGGCCTTCTTAAGTTTAAATGGTATCTTGTAATTAGAAAAAAGTCTGCATTGTGGACTTCGAGTAATTCGTTATTAGATTAAAAGTGAAAATAATTTTAAGTGTCATTTCTTAATGAGTTTAACCTTAAAACAATGTTATAACAAAAAATTGTTAACCATTTTATACCTTATTAGTAAAAAACTTAAAAACTCACTACCTATGAGACTATAAAATAAATAAGGAACAATAAGCACCTAAATGTAAGCACAAATTATCATCTCAAGTACCTTGATTTAAAGTGAAAATAATTTAAGTGTCATTTCTTAATTAGTTTAACCTTAAAAAAATGTTATAACAAAAAATTGTTAACCATTTTATACCTTATTAGTAAAAAACTTAAAAACTCACTACCTATGAGACTATAAAATAAATAAGGAACAATAAGCACCTAAATGTAAGCACAAATTATCATCTCAAGTACCTTTGTGTTCTTAGATAGGTGCCTGATCTTGAACTCTTTCCCCCTACACATACTCATTGCAAATCTGAACTAGTGTTTTACTTCTCTCTTATCTATGTAAATCTCTTCATCATAATGTAAATGAGTTATGTATGTTAAAGTATATGCTTTAAAAATTGTGAGTATTTCTGTGTATAAAGGATTTCCTCTATGTATCAAATGCTTGTAAAGGTAAGCAAAGGAGTGTAATTTTAGCAAGAATTATGAGGTAGGTGGCATAAATAACTTAAGACCTGTAACAGAGAACTCTGTATATACTGTGTCTCTGAAATTTCACAGAGTCATCTCATCTTTAAGTTGTACTTTACTTTTTCACAGAATGTCTTCTAAAATGTCATAACTGGTCTTGATTTTTAGTCTATATGTATATAATGGACACATTTCAGTGTCTGGCCACATCAGGAAACTGCAATTTATTTGTAGTAAACTTTAAATACTGCACTTTGTAAAAATTCCCTTATACTGTTGCACTATGAATGATAATTAAGAAGGTTAACAAAGAAGGTACACCAGAAAAGAAGTTAAAGGCTGTTTGTGTAGGATCCACAAAAATGTAATAAAATATAAAGCGTCTCACCGTATTTAAAAAGTGTTTTCTTCTTTTTTTCTAGAAAATGGAATAAATGGAACAGTGACCTCAAACGGAGCAGACTCGCCTCGCAGCAGGAAGGATAAATCCTCGTAAAACTGGGTTTTATTAAGTTAATTGACTAATGTCCCCAAAGAATCTGCTTTTTACATGGATGGCCCTTCAGCACTAGAGATATTATGGATTAAAGAAAATGCAATTCATGTTTTTTGATTATTGCTGTTGTTTTGAGAAACTTTTTTTAAAAAACCATTTTGACAAAGGAAAAAGGTTTATCTCTCTTCAAATACTTGGGGGGAGGATTCAACACTTTTTAAAACACATTGAAGCTTTTTTAAATATTTACTGTGATGAAATAACTTACTTAATGAGGATCACTGTTGCAGTGTATTATTTCCTTCCAGTTTTTGTAATCTTGGTGATACTGTTCTACCAGCTTCACTTTTTCCAAGTTCCTCAAAAAGTATTGCAAAATTGAAGTAAAAACATTGTATGCATATTCAGATACTCTGGGTTTTCAATTAATTACCTTGATTCAAATTTACATTTCAATTTGGGATTCCAAGACCACACCAATAGACCTCTTTATTTGGTAGTTACTATAGCTGCACAATGTCTGCTCTAGGAATTGCCCCATATCATTAAAACAAAACTGAACTAATTGGAAACGTTGCAGAGTCTTATTGTTTGTTGGTTAGAAATCTCTTACAAGGAACACAACACTTTTTTGAGATATAGCTTTTAGCACCTGAAAATTAGAAGGGAGCGTGTACAGTCATAGAAAAAGTTGATTTGATAGCACTGTCCACTTCTGTCTGTGCTTTTGAGGTGTACGTATCTTGGAGAATTGGTGTGCATTGGACCTTCTTTGAAAACTTGTCTGATTTTACGGGTGGAGGTTATTACAATGTGCTGTGTTTGTTTTGGGAGGCAGTCAATGCTCCATGAAGAGGGAATTAGGTAAATGGATCAAGTGATGAGCAACATTCCTTTATTCTAACTGCTTTGCTTTCTTTCACCTCTGTTAGGAAATAGTTTGATTTCTCCTATATATATTTTTATGAAAAAAATATTTAAAAGCTACAGCTTCTTAAAACTGATTTATTGTGACCTCTGCTACAACTAGAAAAATCTAAATTTAAGAATTTTTCCATTATCTTTCATAATTGTATTCAATGTGAAACCTTGTCCAGTTAGTTTTCCAGTTTAGTATGCAGATAATGTTTCCTCTGTACACTTTTGTAATGGGTATAATTCAACCTGTTTCACTTGAGAGTAAGTGAGGCAGTTATTGCAGTCCTAAGAAGAAGTTGCTGAATTAGTCTGTCAAGTTAACCCAAGTATTGAACTGCTTATTGATTGAGGAGTAATTATGAGCAATCAAGCTGATAAATAAAATAATTTTAATTAAAAGCTGTTCTTATAATGGAGTTTATACCGAACAAAATGATAAATCTGCATTCTGTATTTTCTACAGTCCAATTGCTTACTATTCAGAATAAACATTCTAGTACAAAAACCTCACTACAAGCAACTATCCATTCTTCAGTTGTTTAGTGCTGTTTAGAGTTATTACTGTATAATTTGTTTCCTGTTTCAGCTGATTACAGACACAATTCCCACATATTTGGTTCACAGCTCCTGAATTGGACTTGGCAGACTTGTACTTGCTTAGCTTGAGAGCTCTGGGGCAGTGTGCCCTCTAGAATGCCCAGTCTGCTTCAGGAGAAGTAGGTATCCCATGTCCCGTGACATCCTATGTAGAACTGTGAATCTGTCCAACCTGACCACAAACTGGAAAACTGGAACTCGGAAATTTTGAGAGACTCGTGTACTTTTATTATATACTTGTTCAAAATCTTGTTTTGTGTCTGATGTTTCTAGAAAAACCTTCAAAGATTCTGTGTGCCTTGCTCTCAACTTGTACCTTAAGCCAAAGGGGGTAAATTTTAAGTGTCTAGTCTGGTGCTTGTGATATCTGGTTGTACTGGGGCTGAAAGAATCATAAAGGGTGGAGGAACAAATTATCAAGTGATCATTTAAGGTACTTCTTGAGATCTTCAAGACTTATAGGAGTCTGAGGGTTGTAATAGTTGTTTCCCTAAGGCAAACTATTTCTTGTAAACCTCATTCTTTGACACAGTAGTCTTGAAATGTAAACTTCAGGTTAATTTCCAAAAACTTCAGAAGAATATATTCTTGACTGTTAATACTGACATTGCTTTTTGTCTCCTTTTGGCCTTATATATGGACATTCTTGTCCTTTGGACATTTACAAAAGCACTTTTGTTTCCACAATGGCTTAATATTCTTCATTGCCTTATAGGAGTTGTTGGTATCTGCCAAGTAATAGAAGGTAACAACAGGCGTTCTAGAAATTGGTTAGAGTATTGGAAGCCAGTATTTTCTGTCTCTTCTCTCATAACTAAAAATACATATTTATCGTGTTTGATAAGGCAAGACCAGTAATTTTTAATTATATACCTTGGGATGGAAACACTCATAAACTTAGAAGATATTGAGACTTCTATTTCTAGTTTGATATTATTTGTTTTAGTGTTAGAGTATTTTTTGGCTGCATAACTTCTTTCAAATTGCTTAAAATTGATTTTCAAATGTTATTGCAGCTTTGGCTCTTTGCTTGTAATCTGGGTTTCAGTGAGATGGAAGAAGATTAGTTGTCTAATCATGTTTTCTTAATTATGGCATCAAGAAAATTAGAAATGGAAATGACTGAGGAGTTCATTATTGTATCCTACGCCAAATAAAATAGGCAGTAGTTAATTTATCCTCATCAATTACCAGGTCCCACAAAGAGAAAGCTTTGTCCATTTAGATGGATTTGAATGAAATAATTACACAGACAGTGTATAGGGTTTGTTTGGTTTGTTTTTTTCTTAAACCTCCTTCTCTTTGCCCCACCTTGTCAAAATGTTTCAATATCTAACAACAGATGATTTCAAGCCTTTTTTGAGCCCCAAATGTGTGTTTGTTTTGTGTGCCAGAATACTCCCTCAAAACCAGCATTTTACTTTTAAAGTGGTTATATTTAATTTCAAAGTACAAACAAGGAATGCTGAGCAGCTGAAATTAATTTTCAGAGTTTTAGTTTTCATCTGGACACTTTCTCCTTGGTTGCAAAGAATGATTTCTCCTGTGTGATTCATTCATGAATGTGAAAATACTCTTTGGAAATGCTGTTTTTCTGGTGATCTCATGCCCAAACTTAGGAATGGTGAAGGAATTTGCTGAGCAGAGAAAATGCATAGGCTATTTCTTCTAAGTTTAGGTTATGCTGAAGGTAAATTATGTATGTTGGAATAATGCATTTAGAAAATCAGCAATTATTTGTAAGCATTTGGTATTTTTTCTAAATAGTCTTTTTCTTTGAAAATTTTAGTTGTGCTTATGCAGTTATAGTACCCAGAATCGTAATAAGCAGCGTGGTTCTCTGGTGCAGTTAATTGGACTTCTGTGGAAAGGGTCAATACATGTCTGCAGTCCTTTGTTCTTTGAATATTTCTGACTGACTGCACCTGAGTTGATTTTGCTGGGGGAAAAACTTGATATGAAAGTGGAGGATTTCCATAACCATGCTAGCCTGAAAGTAATGTAGGTTGCTGCCAGAACTGTTGTTCTGTCCCTTGCCTTAGCTAGCACGAGCCTTTCTGGTTGCATGGTGAGCTAGACCAGGGAGCTGGTGCACCTGAAACCAGGCATGTTTGGGTTTTTCCATTGGGTTGGTTGCCTGATAGTAACCCCAGAGTTTTACAAGTATGTATAAGCAAGAAGAAAAGTTGCAGGGTAAAGATCAATCAGGTTCTAAAGCAGCTGCCCCTTTCAACAGCATGTTGCTTAAAAGTTACACTAGATTACAGTGTGGGAGATCTTTAAAGACTTCCAGTCATCAGTACCAGAAGGGACGTGGTCTCTCTGGTAGTTCCTACATGCCAAACCCATGAAGTATTAATGGACTTTTTTCAGATCTTGTGGGGGAAGGAGGGAGACTCATCATGGTTTACTGTACTGAGACACCTTTTATCTGTCATCAGGGTTTCTAGCAGTGCAAGAGGATACTGGCAGTGTAGAAATAGAGATTTTGAAAATGCAGATTGTCCTGGATGAAACAAATAATATTGCTTTCTTTAACAGACAGGAAATCATTGGGGTTTTTTTTGATTTTTTGGTGTGAGATTTTTTTTTTTAGTGCATTGACCCTTTATGTAGTGGAGGAGGTCTTCCAGAGAGCTTCGCAAGAATTGCACTATATGCAAGTCTTGGTACATGGAGGGGAGGATTGTTTGTTTTATCTTGTTTTTCTGTTTTCAGGAAGTTCACCAGCTGATTCCTAGGTCATACTTGGGTTTGGTTCCATTTGTGACTCAGCCCTTTGGGCCTGTGTTGTAAATGCTGGAGATTGGCAGTTTCAATAGGCTCCCTGTGCAGTGGTGATCGTTGCTGTCCTAATTGTTCTGTCTGGAAAATGTCAGTATTGAAGGGACTTGAACACAAAGTAGAGACAGTGGTGATGTTTGTAACATTTCCAGGCCAGTGGGAGCCTGCATACAGAGATGGTATCTGGAGGGGGGGCTGTGGTTTAATGCCTGAATCTTGTTATGCAAATATTTAGGTTATTTCTGGTGCAGGGTATAAGAATGTCCTACAAAATGAAAGCTTGGGGAATATTTAGAAAATCCTTTAAAAAGAAAAAGACTTCAAAGGACTGACGTCAGTTATCATCTGTTCATCATATTTGAATTTCTTACATTGTGAGCTGTGGATTATCTTTAGAGCACTGGATTAGCCCATGCTTGTCGGTTTGTTGGTGGGGTTGTTTTATATACTGTAAGTTGTTGTGGTGGATATCTGGTGAGTATCCTCTCTTCACACTGCTCCCTGAACTACTCAGTTTTGGATCTGATAACCCTAAATCTGTACACAGTAAGGAATTTTGTGTGCTCTTCAGAGCTAAAATAGGATCAGTGCTGGAGTGTTTCTGGATCAGGGGTGCAAAAGAAACATGCACATCAATATGTTGAGTGTCATCAGAACCTCCTTAATGGGAACCAATACTCTAGGATGAATAAATTTCAATACAACTTGGATATGGCTTGCATTCACGTAGCAAGTGCTGTTGTGGGTGAAATGGCACTGCTGTTGGCATCTGTCACTGTCCATTCCCTCTGGTGAGCAGTGGGTGAGGAGTGCTGGGCTGCAGCAGCAGTAGGCTGACTGCTTTCTGCCTTTTAGAGAAGCTCTTTTGATGTTGCCAATTCAAAAGCAGCAACTTTTATTTCTTGTTAAAAAAAAAAAAAGTGTACGGCCTAGTTTTGAATCAAATGCACTTGCTCTTGATCTCTTTCTATGTGTCCTGTCACTTTTATTTTAGGTTTCTGCAGATACTTTAGTTTTATCCAGCTCAAGGATGGCAAGTCTATGATGTGAGTGCCAGAAATGACAACTCCTTTTTCTTCTTTTTGTGTTTGAAACTTTTTGCAGAATCAGAGCAGCTAAAGTGTAGCTTTATAATTCAATAGTATTTTGGTATTCATTCTTTGTCTGTGTTTATTGTGGTTAACATTAAAGGTCAGGCATTATCGTTCAGCACAACACAGTTGTTACTTCTTCATGCCACACACAAGAGCATTAGGGAATTTGATATACTGAATTGAAAAAATAATATGTTAGTCAGTCTGGTTTAACAGAAGTTGATATTCCTGGATGGTTTTGCTTTGCATATTGCAATTCACTCTCACTGCCTTTCTCATTTAGGAAACTGGGCACCTAAGATCTCTGAATCTTTAGACTGTAGTTTTGCTGTATACCACATGAAAAATTATGGTCTAGAGCCCTGTGTCTCCTTATATTTGTTTTTAAATGTTGAAGACTGTATCTTGCATTGTAATCAACAGATAAGTATTCAGCCCATGGTAACTGTAACAGGGTAGGAAATTCAACTCTTGAACTCCGGACTAGAAACCAAGCCAAAACTTAACTCATATTCTCACGCAGGTGATTCCTCCTCTTTGTTTCTTGATTAATCATTATCTTTGTTTTGTTTATGTAGATTGTAAGTTCTTGTGGCAAGGGTTGTCTTTCGTGCGTGTGTGTGCGTGCGCGTGTGTGTACCCAGGACAATGAGGTCTGGAGCCCCAGTCCGTGGAAGCTGTAATAAGCAATCACCTTGTTATTGTTTTCCTGGATATCATAATAAAGAGTATCAAATTAAAACTGTGCTTGAATAGTCTGTTACAAAAATGGAAGCATGTCAATTGCTTCTGGCCTTGCTTACAGTCCAGCAGCATCTGGGAGATACTGCTCCAAGGCAAATATGGTGTTTTGTGTTTGGGGAGATTCACTTGAACCAGTGAACACCAGAGACAGGAAATCTGCTTAGGCTGAAGAGGAATGGCTTGTAACTTGGGCTGGAGCTGGAACTTGCACAAAATTATCACAAGTTCAGGACTGATTTTCAAACCTTTTGTCAGCTTGAGAAACTGCATTGGCCCTCCCTCTTGG